GCATGTAGGGCAGCTCCCAATCTCCTTTGCTGCCCCCTTCACCTCCAGCCCCTTCAAGCACCCATCCTTTACCAACTTCTGCAGCATAGGAATGTTCACATGGCACAGCCTCTCATGCCACGTCTCCCAATCAGCCTCACCACTCCCAGATGAAGCCTTTGCCCATGCAGCTGTCGCATCCACACCAGCAAGCACCTCACCATGTGGCTGTTGTGGCTGCTGCACCTTCTTGACTGCATCCAGGGCCCCAGCAGTTGGTGCAGTCTCCTCTCCTCCCGAAGTTGCTTTAGCCGCTGCCGCTGCCTTTGGCGTTGCTGGTGGTTTCCCCTTCCAAGGGATGATGGGCAGCTGCCACAGGTCCTTGATGCAGCTGCTCTTCTCCTCCAAGTTCCACAGCAGCAACTTCCCAAGCTTTGCACGGCAGCTGGTTGGGCCGAAGGTAACTTCAGCCTTGCTCTTCTGCAGTCGGCGCACAGAAAGAAGGTTAGCGGACAAACCTTCAACCAACAGCACATTCCCAAGCCCCACAAGCTCTCCATTGGCTCCCATCACCTTGGCGTTCCCAACACCAATCACAGGGAGCAAAGCACCTGAAGCGGCAGCCACAAACTTGATCTTCCCAAAATTTTTAACCTCATCAAGCAAATCTGCCCGTGGGGTCATATGACTCGTGCAACCTGAATCGATCACCCAGTGAGTGAGGGGGTGCATCACAACCTTCCCAACTGAACCCACATCACCCCCACTCCCTTGCACATCCTCAACCATGAGGAACATCCCAGGGTGGGCTTTACCTTGTGCACCATCACCTTGTGCACCTGAACCTTGCACAGCGCCACCGCGTGCACGTTCACCACTTGGCGGCTTCATGCCTGGAGGGGCCCATCCCTCAGGCCGGCTGAAACACTTGAACCACGGGTGTCCAGCCTTCTTGCAGTACCAGCACGCACCCTCCATTCGGGTGCTCCCCCTGCCACCAGAGCTCCCATGCCCCTCATTGTAGTCACCTCGGCCTCTCCCTCTGCCAAAGCCTCTCCCACGGCCTCGGCCTCTCCCTCCCCCTCTTCCTCTGCTGCCTCCTGCAGCTCCATACCCCTCAGCAGTTTTGTTGGCAGCACCACCTCCCGTGTGGCGTCTGCGGAAGTCCTCCTGCAGAATCTGCTGCCGTAGCCACTCAGGCGTCCATTTGTCCTGCTGAACGTTGAGGGTGGGGATGAGGTTGTCCCACGAGTTGTCGAGCACCGAGATGATCTTGGTGCACTGTTGCATCTGCGACACTTCGCTGCCCGCCGCTGCCATCCTCGCATAGGTGTCCTTGATCTTGTCAAGGACCGGTTTCACATCATCTCCCGGTTTCATGGAGAGGGCAGCCAACTCCTTCTCCAACACAATCACCATCGGCAGCGTGTTGGGCTGAATCACGTCGCGTAGCAGCTTCCATGCCTTCGGTCCGGAATCATCCAACTCCACCAAATCCTTGATGTGCTGGAACATGTCGTTGTTGACCGATTGGAGGATGAGGTCGTACAGCACCGCGCTCTTCTCAATCCACCGATCGCGGGCATCTCCTTCCCCCGGCATCTTCTCCTCTCCCATTGCAATTTTCAGCAGCTTGTAGCGCTTGAAGGCGCTCCGCATCCGCCCGCTCCATTCCTCATAGTTGGAGCCATCCAAAGCTTCGACCTTGGATGGTGGCGGTTCACTCCTCTTCTCAGCTGCATCTCCACTCCCTTGATTCATCTCCTCTGCTCCCAATCAGAGGTTTCAGCTCCCCCCTTTGCTGGTCACAATGTAGATCCACACAATCTTCACAAGTGTCGGCGCCAACGAAATTTCGGCAGAGTTTCCCCTTAGCGGAAGTCACATCCAACCTCCAGAACTCCACTTAGGCACGCCCACAGGCCATGGTGGGTCTAAGAGGGTCTTCACACTTCAGTAGACTCCTCATAGGGTCCTTAATCAGCTCTGATACCACTTGTTAGAGATTAAGGACGGAGTCTATGAAGATTAGGGGCTGAAATATCTCAAAATCGTCAACTACAATTCTGGACAGAAAAGTCGTCGTCACAAGAAACGTCGTCGACGAAAGGTCCACTGTTAGAATTCTTTCAATCTCGAGTATGTTGTAGCCCTTGACCGTGGCTATCTTTCCCAATTTGAATAGTATCAGAATATGGAGTATAACTCGAGTTATGAACTTCGGCGCACTAGGGGGTATGCTGCCATAGAAAACGTAACTCAATCACAATGATCTCACAAGTTCACACAAGAGAATTGGAGTAGCACTAAACCAGGTGGAAGGGATGAGGAGGACGAGAGGGAAGGTCCCAAGAGAGTCCCCAACCAAGGAAACCCCCATGCCATACAATTCCCTTCCCCATAGGCAACCCAACTTTGACCTTTGTCACTATCCCAACCTCCACAATCCACCTCAACCCAACTTGGCCACACTTGCCAACCTGGTTTGGTTTCTCCCAACCATTTGGCAGCAACTACAGTAGAAAAGACGAATTTCCCAACCCCCAAAAGTCTGTACCCCATATTGAGTCAACCCCACAACTTCCCATAGTCACCACAACCAAATAACAAAAGCATACGAACTCCAACGTTCGTAACTCTCTTGTTCGTGCTCCGATTGAAGCGATACTTGGTTCCTCGGAAAGCTCTTGAGCAGAGGAGTCACTTCAGATATCTGCTCAAGCCAAATAACATTCACACACACACTCGAAAAAAACCAAACCGCACAAAATACAACTTCTTTCACACACTCACAACACGCATGCAACGCACGAACATATGATGGGAGGCAGACAGACGTGAATGCGAATGGTAGCATCACTCAACACCTCTATGCGTCAGTGGATGCGGTAATCCACGTGGAGCAGCCACACACATACGGTGAAGGGGAGTCATACATTTTGGTACAGCTGCCAAGGCTCTGGCAGCGGTACCTGCACAACATCCTTCTTGAGATAGGCTTCAAGCAACTACCCCACGATTCCAGAATGTACCGCCGCGATTTTTGCGGCGACTACATTTTGCTCACGGTCTACATCAACGATCTACTCTACACAGGGTCGAGCAAAGAGCTGCTCGAACAGATCGAAAAGAACCTAGCGGCGCGCGTCGACATCACCTGCAACCACGACGTGAAGCAGTTCCTCGGCCTCAACATTTCCTACACGCCATAAGCCATTCATCTCTTAGCAGCCAAGTACGCAGAGGAACTTGGCAAAGGCTTCAACATTGCGCCTGCACAACTCTCCACCCCTTACCACACTCCCGGACCGAACCATAAATCTGACAACAAAGCCCTATCCCCTCCTGGAATTCAGTCTTACCAATAGCTCCTGGGATGCTTGCTCTTTGCCTCAATAACATGCAGGCCAGACCTCTCCTACATCGCAAGTCAGCTGGCGCAGTACTCTCGGAAACCAACGGCTGAGAATCTTCTAGATCTTCAGCGCACACTGCGCTTCTTCATCTCAACACCTAACATTGGGCTCTGCTACTCAACAGTGCCAACCCCATCCTTCAATCTCATCGGCTACGTGGACGCCGATCATGCAGCAGACCCCAACAATCGACGCTCCAGGACCAGTTTTCTGTTTCGCCTTGAGCCAACAGGACCAATCTCGTGGAACTCGCAAAAGCAGGAGCTGGTTGCCGTGTCATCGGTTGAAGCTGAATTCATCGCTGCGACAGTAGCAGTTCGCGAAGGACTCTATCTGCAAGAACTCTTGCAAGAGGAAAAAATTCCAGCCATGCCAACCTTTCGCCTGCACTGCGACAACCAGAGCGCGATCCGAATCACGAACAAGCCTGGATTCGTCAACCGCACCAAACACATCGCGCTGCGGTACTTCTTTGTCAAAGACGAAGTTGACAAGGGAAAAGTTGACTTGACGTACTACCCAACAGGAGACATGGCAGCAGACTTCCTCACAAAGCGACTGCCCCATCAGCAGTACCAGCACTGCTCCGAACTCAGCGGAGTAGTCAAGCAAGTCAAAACCTGCTACAGCGAGGAATGAAGGTGGTTGTTATGAATAGTGAAATGAGAAGCTGCACTGTGCATTCCTGCCTATAGCAAGAACGGAGAACACAAAAAGGAGTACGAAGACGAAAGGTTGAAGCGACGCGAACAGTTGGAGAGTATCCGGACCGTCGGAGCAGACAACATCGCGCAGCTGCAGGAGCGAGGAAAAAGGAGGGAATAGTTTCGTAACTGTACACGCCGCACGGTTGGGTTGGAATTTGAATAAGGGAATGTACCCCTTAGAGTACATGGCTAGCTAGGACGATTGATATTCCCTTGTACTCATATTTATACGTTTGTACTTGCGTGCTATTATCATCTCAATCATTTTAAATTCACTCTGATTTGAGGTCAAGGGCCCACCACTACCACATACTTCTGTGCGAACCTTCCCGAGGTGATCTTGGTTACGATCTACTTTTGATCGCATAAAAGTTCAACCATCGGGGGTAATCATTCACACGCTACAACGCATACGATGCAATGCAATTACGTATTTTACATATACCATTTTTAACCTTCTATAGACGAAAGGGTACACAACACAACCCAAACTGCCCGCATTGGGATGTTGCTGGTTATTCTCCCCCGCATGACGTTGCATTTGAATGCCCGTGAGTATTGGCTGCAACCTGCCTGATGGACCTCTTGCTGCCACACCAGTATTTGTTTCCTGCATGGCAGAAACGGTGGTGGGAGTGAGAGGGTTGTAGGAGGAGTAAGGGAGCCCATAGGAGAAAGAGGGCGCTTGTTGCAAAATAATCCCTTGCTTCAGCCTGGCACGCTCTTGAGCAGCCTGTGCGCCCCATTGTCATCCAGACAATGGCCATGCCACTCACCCGGTAGTACGAACGGTTCAATACATGGCAGGGAAATGCAGTGCAAGACGAGGGCACATGATGCAATGCAAGCAGAAAGGGTTGTTTTAGTCGACTCAAAAGACGGTTCAACGCCTGGCAGCATGGATGAGGGCAATGGCATGCCATCTTCACCTTCCCCATATCTCTGCCATTCCCCCAACCCGACCCCGCTTCCCCACCATTCGCACACCTACTTCTTCCCACCTCTCCTACCACAGCTATCTTTCCTGCTTCGCGTCCCCATCCTGCAGTGCAATGGAGGGCAAGGAGAGAGTGGGTGAGGAGCATGTGGGGTGAGAAAGTAGGGTGAGCAAGTGGGGTGAGCAAGTGAGGTGAGCAAGTGGGGTGAGCGAGTGAGGTGAGCAAGTGGGGTGAGATAGTGAGGTGAGCAGAATTGATAACCAGGGAAAACCACCCTAGTTGTGGTGGCCTGCAGTCATCTTGGCAAGGTGGCGTCAGGAGAGAGGTACAACCGTCCACCAACACCCCTAACCAGCCTAACCCCCACCTTAAACAGCCTAACCCCCACCTTAAACAGCCTAACCAGCCAAACTTCCTAACCAGCCTAACCGCCCTCATCTGGTAGGATGGGCGATAGGAAGACCTCCTGAGTGACAGGGCGGGGGGTGGGGGGTGGGGGTTTGGGGGCTGAAAAACGGCATGCCCAAGTGATGCCCCTCCTCATCCCCCCTTCCCTCTCACCATTTCCCCAACCCCCTTTACACACCCCTTCCATTTTTCCATCCCCCTTCCCTTTGTCCATCCCCCTTCCCCTTTTCCATCCCCCTTCCCCTTTTCCATCCCCCCTTCTCGCTTTCCATTCCCCCTTCCCCTTCCCCGTTCACCATTCCCCCTCCACATCCCCCTTCGCCCTATCCATCACCCCGCCCTCCAGATCCCCCCTTTCCCTCCCCATCCCCGCTTGCCCTCCCCATCCCTCCTCGCTCTCCCCATCCCCGTCGCCCTCCCCATCCCCCCTCACCCTCCGAACCCCCTTTCCCCCTCCCCATTCCCCCTCACCCTGCCCATTCCCCCTGTACCTCCGCATCGCCCCTCCGCCCTTCACATACGCCCTTGAAGTCGTGTGCTGAAGCATGGAGAAGTGTGGCAGCAGGTGCTGGCTGGGGGCGTTGAAGGAGGTGTTGGTGCAACCCTACAGTTTGCATTCGGCTTGTTGTCCGTGTGCGTGCATGCGTGTGTGCATGGAATGGAAAGAGGGCATGAAATAATATATATTTCATGCTTACAATAGTGTGTGAATGATGAGGCATGATTTTGAATGTGTGTGTCGAGTCAATAGCGAGTTATCGCTAGTCGCGTGTCACGTCGTCGTTTGCGTGTCGTGTGTGGCTTTCTATTTTGTCGTGTGTGGAACGTTCAGCGTGTCGCAGATGTGCACAGCAGACTTCCAAGAACTGAAGGAAGAATTTATCTTGAAGAACCAGAGCCTTGGTTTCAAGAATCAAGTGATTTCGAAGCTCTCCAAAAGGGTAAACTTTAAGATAGTGAGAATAGTTGCATTACTTTTGTAGTGTAACATTTCTCTTGGTGTAGGCCCTTGTGGAGGGTAGTTTCGAGACCCTTCGTGGTTGGGGACAGTGTGGCACTGTTCCACATCACTGTACCTCGGCTCTTGGGGTTTGTAGGAGCTGGGAGTCATTCCCACCTCGTAACTCTTCCTAATTTGTGTTCTAAGACTATAGTGGCTGCTATAGTACCGTTCATTCAAACCAACACTGTGTCGTCAATTCTTTATGAAATTGTGCCATCTAAATTTCCTATTGTAGGCGACGTGAAAAAGCTCGAGATCCAAGTTGAATCAAGTCATTTGAAGCTGTGAGCAGAACGCTATCAACGTTTGAAGCCCCTGTGCAGAAATCCGTCTGTGCACTCTATCTTTCGTTTTAGGCACATTCAAGCCTATTGTGACTATAATAGGAGGTCGGCCAACGCCACGTGCAGGGAGCCGCGCAGTGCCACGCGCAGGGAGCCCCGCAGGCCACGCATGTGGGGTTGGTACCTAACGTTGAGAGGTGCCTAAGACAGGCGAGGGGGGAGGAGAGCAGGGTCATACGGGGGTGAGCATGTTGATGATGGGGTGACTTGTGCACACATGTGTGGTGCTGGCGTGCCTGATGAAATGGAGGTCCCTGAGATAGGCGAAGAAGGGGAGTCCGGGTGTGATGTCATGGAGAGTCATGCACGGGTGCACGGAGATAGGAGGGCCAACCGTGTGGTGCTGCTGGTGCCTAATGTGGAGGAAGTTCCTGGAGGTAAGTGTTTGGAGAAAAGAGACCTGTCACACGTAGCTCAAACAAAGCTATCCCACGCTCCCCTCCCCTGTCCCCAGCCGGTGTAGACGCAAACCTCACATCCATCCTACGGACGGATGCCATTGCACACAGCATTCAAAGCTCAAATAAACCCCATCCACCCACACCACCCTTCCCTCCACCCTCTTCCTTTATAGCAGCATTTCAAACCCTCAAATTACATCTTCTCTCCTCCCCTACCCTCGCCTCCATTCTCCTACCCTCGCCTCCCTCCCCTCCTCCCTTCTCCTCCCCCCAATTCCCCTCCTCCCTGTATCACCAGTGATATTGACGTACGTGGCCCTGACATCCATCCGATGAGAACCCTAAACCCTCGCACCATCCCCATGTTAGAAAAGTGAACGAATGAATGATTGAACTAGAAAGCAGGTGGGTACAAGTAGCAAACCTAAAAGTGTTGTACCCTATAAGAACTACCCCACTACAGCCTAAACAGACTATAGCATATAAGTTTGACACACCCCCATAGGCAAAGTGGGGGAGAACAAGAGGTCACAAGACCAGTCAAGAAAGGCAAAGCAAGCTCAGGGTGGATCACAAAGTCACCACGCAGTCTGAGCACAAGCAAATGGCCACAAGGCCAGTTCACATGCAGAGTTATATAAAGGAAAACAGACAATACAGTGAACGCAACCTAGCAAGTGTAAGCATGCAGGTATATGCATATAAAGTACAGTACAAGCAGAGTCAAGAAGTAAGCAAGTGAGGCATAGTAGGTACAAGGCCTAGAACAGTACAGAAACGCTGATGATCACAAGGCTGAAGTGCCTTGGTGAAAACATCAGCAGTGTTGGCCTGTGAGGCCACGTAAGCGAGACGAAGCTGGCCACGCTACTGCAACCCTCGAGCAAGGAAGTAGCGCAAAGCAATGTGCTTCGTTCTGTGCTCCAGTCTGTGCTCCTGACACAAGGCCAGCATGGCCTTGTGGTCGACGTACAGAACTGGAGGAGAACGAGGCGGCTCTCCCAAGTCGGTCAGCAGGTAGGTGAGCCAGCGTAGCTCCTGTGCAGCCATGGCCCCAGCGTAGATCTCAGCCTCACAAGTGGAGCTGAGAACAGAAGAAGAGCGGGTAGACCACCAAGAGACAGAACCGGAACCAAGACTGAAGGTGTAACCCTGTGACGACCGCTGTGTAGCCAAGTCGTCAACCCAGAAAGCGTCTGCGTGACCAGTGAGGACAACTCGAGCCCGTCCTCCAAGCACGAGCCCCATGCCCGACGTACTGCACAGGTAGCGCAACACCCTCTTCGCAGCATCCCAGTGCACCTTTCGGTGTCGACCGGAAGCCACGTAGCGAGCCAGAAGGCTGAGAGGGTATGCGAGGTCAGGTCGTGTGCAAGTCATCAGGTACATGAGGCAGCCCACAAGCTCTGGATACGGGCCACTCGGCTCTACGGACTCGTCCGAAGGTGGAGCTAAGAGCGAGTGACCGGTAGGCAGAGGAGTGGACTGTGGTGAGGAGTACGTGAAGCTGAAGCGCTGAAGGACCTGCTGCACCATGTGTGACTGAGTCAAGGTAATGGTGCGCTGTGCTCTGTCCCGGGTTATCCGCAAGCCAAGATAGCTTGACAGTTCACCCAGGTCTGTGCACGTGTGTCTCTTCTGCAGCTCGGACTTCACGTGGGCGAGTGCCTCAGTGTCAGCAGTAGCAAAGACGAGGTCGTCTACGTACACGAGAACGTAGAACGGCGGCAGAGTAGTGTCAGTGCGTGAAAACAGTGAAGGGTCAGCAGTGGAAGTATCAAAACCAAGAGAAGCAAGAGTCGTCCTGAGTGTGTCGTGCCACTCACGGGGCGCCTGGCGGAGACCGTAGACTGGCCGCCGGAGGCTCCACTGGGTACCAGCAGGAAACGACCCAGTGAAGCCAGGTGGGCGGCACAGCCAGATCTCCTCGTGCAGGCTGCCCTGTAGGAAGGCTGTGCTGAAGTCAAGTGAGTGGAGCTCGTACTCACGCTGGGCAGCGACGTGCAGCAGTACCCGAAGAGTGGTCATCTTCGGGGTAGGGGAGAAGGTCTGGAAGAAGTCAACTCCCTGTCGCTGACTGAAGCCACGTGCAACGTAACGCGCCTTGAAGACAGGCGGAGAACCCGGCGGCCGCTTCACCCTGAAGATCCACATGCCACTGACGATGTTCGCCCCAGGCGGGGGAACTGCGTCAACGTAGGTGCCTGTGGATTTCCAGGAAGCCATCTCGGCGTCCATGGCTGTCTGCCACTGAGAGGAGTAGGGACCCTCTATCGCCTCTGCGTAAGAGCGCGGGGTCGGGATGTCTGGTGCATCCGGGTCTCCCTCAGGGAAAAGCAGCATGGACACGAGATGAGGTACAGCAGCGGCAAAGCACTCAAACTCCTCCTGTCTGTCCTCAAGAACGTCAGTGCCAAGAGCACACTCACCCCCGACGGACGGAGGACAGACAGACGCAGACGCAGACTCAACAACAAGACTAGTGGCGTAGTCTAGGCGACAGGCTGCAGCAAAGTCAACAAGCTCAGCAACGAGAGCAGACGCAGCATTGGACTCAAACAAAGGGTCAGTGACAGCAGTGGCCAGAAAGTGCGTGACAGTAGGACTAGCAGCACGAAGGGAGTTAGACTCCGGATCCGGATCGTCATGAAGAGAGGACGCAGGAGGAGACGGCAGAGGGACACGCTGTGGAGCAGTGGAAGGACGCAGATTCATTGAGTGATTGCCAGCAACAGGAGGAGGACGCGGACGCGAAACACGACGACCAGCGCGAACAATGCGGACAGGCGACTCAGAACGAGACTCAGGTGACTCAGGACGAGACTCAGGCGACACAGGACGCGACTCAGGCTCACGACGCTCCGTAAGACCTCTAGTCGGTCCAGAGTAAGGAGAAGGACCAAGCAGTGGAGAGGCTGGCTGTAACTGCGACTATGACTGGACAGGCGGTGGACTCAGTAAGGGAGGAGGAGGACCTGTAGAAGGCGGGAGACCAAGAACCTGCTGAAGGAGCGGAACGTAGTACGGCCGCGGCCGCGCAGCGCCTCCAGAAACAGCAGAGACAGCACCAGTACCCTCAGCTCCAGGGTCGCCAGCTACAACTCCCGCAGCACCACCAGCTCAAGTACCTGCAGCGCCAACGCCTGCAGCAGCACCAGCCCCAGCATCTCCGGTACCTCCAGTACGAGCACCTCCAGGACGAGCGGCTCCAGCACCAGCACCACCTCCAACAGCACCAGCACCAGCAGCGCCTCCAGCAGCTCCAGCACCAGCAGCACCTCCAGCAGCACCAGCACCAGCAGCGCCTCCAGCAGCTCTAGCACCAGCAGCACCTCCCGCAACTCTAGCACCAGCAGCACCTCCAGCAGCTCCAGCACCAGCAGCGCCTCCAGCAGCTCCAGCAGCAGCAGCACCTCCAGCAGCTCCAGCACCAGCAGCACCTCAAGCAGCACCAGTCGCACGGCGACAGCGTCGAGTGTACCACTCACAAAGCTGCTGCGGAGAGAGGGGCTCCCGCCTTAACGGGACACCCGGAGAACCTCCAGACTCAGCACGCGCAGGCTCAGCACCCCAAGACGCAGTACCCCCAGGCTCAGCACCACCAGGCTCCACACGCTCAGGCTCACCACCCCCAGGCTCCGCACCCCCAGTCCCCACACCCTCTGGCTCTGCACCTCCAAACCCCGCACCCCCAGTCCCCGCACGCGCAGGCTCAGCACCCCTAGCAACACCTGAGTTGACAGCTACCTCGATCGGCTCGGCAGGGTCTACCTGAGACACACCTGAGGGGGCAGGACCCTGAGGGGGGAGGGGGTCTACCGGAGGAGTACCTGGTGCAAGGAAGAGTGGTGGGGGAGGGAGAGAGGCAGTGCGGTAAGGAAAGAGACGGTAGTACGACACCGACTCGTCAAATGTGACGTCCTGAGAGGACAGAACACGACGCGAGGTGGGGTGGTAGAACTGCCACCCAGGTGCGTCAGGGGGGAAGCCAAGGAAGACGCAGGGAACGGCACGGGAAGACAGCTTGTCCGCTGAAGTATCGCGGACAAAAGCTCGAGATCCCCAGACACGGAACGCGGACGCATCGCCAACCTTCCCCGTCCACGGCAGAGTAGGTGTGGTCTCCGGCAAGGAGACACGAGGCTGAAGGTTGATCTGATGCGCAACGTACTGAACAGCGAACGGCTACAGAAAATGGGGAGCAGCCGCATGGATCATGGACGTACGAGCGACGTCCATGACCATGCCAATGCGGCGCTCAGCAATCCCATTTTGCTGTGGGGAGGCCGGAAGCGTGAACGTCTGGCAGATGCCCTCCGCACGACAGAAGGCCCTCAGGAGGTCGGAGGAAAAATCACCACCTCTGTCGCAGTGCAGACGCAGAACAGGAAGGTCCGAGCCGAAACGCTCACTGAGCTGGCGACGAGCACCGCGGATCCAGTCGATCAACACCTTAGGGACCTCACCTTTGCTGCGCAAGGGGAAGAGTGAGGTTTAACGCGAGTAGTCGTCAACGACCAGCAGGAAGTAACGCTCGTGACCCTGTCCACGGACGCGGGCTGGGCCCCACACGTCCATGTGAAGAGTCTGCAGAGGAGCCTCTGTCGGGGGAAACGTGGAGGAGTGAGGAGCGGCGCGCTGCCGGCCCTCGACACAAGGAACACAGGTAGGGGCAGGCCCGAGAGGAAGGGGAGGGAGGGACCGGGGTAGACCCGAGACAAGGGTACGGGAGGCCATACCTCGAAGACGAGGCAGGGAGGGGTGACCAAGGCGGTGGTGCCAAAGGAGAGTCTCGTGCGACAGAGGACGACACGAGCAGGAGGCTGACGCTGGACTAGACCTGGACGCGGCAGCAAACACCTGATTAGACGCGGCTACCTGACCAGACAGAGAGACCGGAGGAGGCGCAGTAGTCAGTGTGTAGAGACTCGACCCAGGCCGACGGGTGAACGTGGCCAGGTGGCGGCCCGTCCGAGAGCAAGTGCAGTGGGTCACACGCTGACCTCCAGGGGTGAACTGGTCAACCCACGCGTCCTGGAGGTCAGCTCCACTCACCAGGTTCGTAGAGAACGAGGGGAGGTGGAGTCCCGACAGCAAGCCCGACGGGGCCGCAGGACACGGTAGAACCGTGGAAGAGTGCGCAAGGACTGGGCCCCCAAAGGGGTCAGCCAGGGAGACTGCGACAGGTCGACTGAGCGGCGTGAGTGTGGTGCTGTCGCGGAAGAAAGAGCGCGAAGCACCAGAGTCAAGTGTGAAAGTGTGCAAGGCCTCAGTAGGTGCAGTACTAGAGAGAGCATACTCACCAGTCCCTGGAGCAGCGGACTCACCAGTACCTGTAGCAGCAGACGCACTAGCACCTAGAGCAGCAGCCTCAATGCCCGGGTCGGGCGGGACACTCAGGTAACAGTCACCCTCAGCACTATCAGTCAAAGCATACATGGCAGCAAGGATAGTATCTAGATCAAGATCAAAGATAGCCACATTCTGCCTAAGCAGATCATGCCAGCGAGGGAGCTCAACAGCGTCAGGAAACTGGGCACGCCAGGCGTCAGTCAAGCGACCGAAGCAGCGCAGCGCAGTGTGTGGCAGCCCGCACATCTACCCACGACGACTGCCGGTGCGAAGAACGTAAGTGCAGGGACCAGCACCCCCAGACCTCCCATGCCCAGCGTACCACTCACGAGGCTGCTGGGCCGACGGGGTCTCACGGGAACGTGGCTGCTGCTGGTGCTGGCTACCACCAAGGCCTCCATGCTGCGCGGCTGCACCTCGACCAGCACCACCACCGCCGCCACCTCCACCACCGCTGTCGCTGCAGGGCAGAGGCCGCGACGGGCGGCTAAGGCAGGGCCGCAACTGGGGCGGCAGCAGGGCAGAGGCCGCGACGGGCGGCGAAGTGCTGGGCAGCGGCCGAGACAGGGCGGCTGCTGGGCGGAGGCCGCGACGGGCGGCGAAGAAGCCGCGACGGGCGGCGAACAAGCCGCGACGGGCGGCAAAGGGGCCGCGACGGGCGGTGAACAGGCCGCGACGGGCGGCAAAGGGGCCGCGACGGGCGGGAAAGGGGGGCCGCGACGGGCCAAGAACAGGCCTCGACGGGCCAGGAACAGGCCGCGACGGGCCAGCGACGGGCGGCTAAGGCAGGGCCGCGACGGGCCAGTGAAGGCAGGGCCGCGACGGGCCGCACTAGGGCAGGGCGCGAGGCGCGCTTCGGGCAGGGCAGGAAGAAAAAAATTCGTGGTGGGCCCTAAAAAAAAACGTTTCCACTAGGGAACCTGCTCAGAATACCCTGTTAGAAAAGTTAACGAATGAATGATTGAACTAGAAAGTAGGTGGGTACAAGTAGCAAACCTAAAAGTGTTGTACCCTATAAGAACTACCCCACTACAGCCTAAACAGACTATAGCATATAAGTTTGACACCCCATGGTGGTGGCTCTCTCCCAACGATGCCCCGCCAAGGTGAGTAGAGGCTGGCATGACTCCTGATGTGACATTTGATGTGGGATGTAAATGCTATCAGGCATGTTGAGGGAGTGAGGGGGTTGCATGCTCGCACCATTCCCGTGCTCGTGGCTCTCTCCAGACGACGCCTTGCCAAGGTGAGCGCAGGCTGACGTGGGCTGTTGGCACTTTCCCAAAAGCGGATGTGTGAGGGATGGTGCTTGAGCATCCCCGTGGGTGAGGGGAGTACTGCATGCAGACTTCCAGTGGTTGTGGCTCTCTCCTGATGGCGCCTGGCCAAGGGAAATTGAAGAAATTGGTTAGGCTGGTTAGGTTTGGTTAGGTTGGTTAGGCTGGTTAGGTTGGTTAGGTTGGTTAGGTTGGTTATGTTGGTTAGGCTGGTTAAGCTGGTTAGGCTGGTTAGGTTGGTTAGGTTGGTTAAGCTGGTTAGGTTGGTTAGGCTGGTTAGGTTGGTTAGGTTGGTTATGTTGGTTAGGTTGGTTATGTTGGTTAGGCTGGTTAGGCTGGTTAGGTTGGTTAGGTTGGTTAGGTTTGTTAGGCTGGTTAGGTTGGATAGGTTGGTTAGGTTGGTTAGTCTGGTTAGGTTGGTTACGTTGGTTAGGTTGGTTAGGCTGGTTAGGTTGGTCTCTAACTGGTGATCGACTGTGCTGAACATATTTGCTCACCCCACTTGCTCCTCACCCACTCTCTCACACTGCATTGCCCACAGAGGGGAGGCACAGAGGGGGAGGCACAGAGGGGGAGGCACAGAGGGGGAGGCACAAAGGGGGAGGCACAGTAAGGGAGGCACAGAGGGGGAGGCACAGAGGGGGAGGCACAGAGGGGGGGGCATAGAGGGGGAGGCACAGAGGGGCAAGCACAGAGGGGGAAGCACAGAGGGGGACGAACAGAGGGGGGCTGATGGATGAGCCAAAGAAGGGTGATGGATGGGGAGATGATGGGGATAGGGAGGGGTAGATGGATGGCAGCAGGGAGGGGCAGGCAGTGCGGCCCCACCGAGCCTAGGCAAGGTCAATGCAGATGAAGGCAGATGCAACAGATACCTAGTAGGTATGGTTTTACTGAGCAGCACAGGTGATGCAAGGCACAATGGACCTGGCGCAATGGGGAGGGAGAGAAGGGGGAAAGGGAATAAACAGGAACTCTGCATGCACCTTGCGACCCCGCACGCACCTACTCCCATCCAGGCCCCTAGATTCGTTTTGGGACACGCTGATGGGTCAGCGTGCACCCTTCTCTGAACTCTGCCAGTCAGAGTTGCCTCCAGTTTTCAGGCTGGAAATTCAGACAACACTAAGTTTTTTAGGCTGAACGTTTAGAGTTACACTCAAATTTTAGGCATATGACTTTTATAGATTATTAAAGAAACATTTCAACTATCTGAGTTAGAGTCTGACTGATGACTATCTACAGTAGCCCGCTCAACTACTGGCTCCTATACAGGCTCCTTCCCAGCCCTTGGGGGCTCCCTGTGTCTTGCAGCAGGTGCTGTGACTGGCCGGTGCTTCTTGTAGCTGTGCCAAATGTCTACTACTCCAGGCACGTCTAGCTCATAGTCTAGCAATGACATACACAGCAGATCACTGAGCCTACAGTCCTTGATACTGCCCCTCTGCCACGTTTTGATGAGATTCTGTCGAGAGAAGCCTCTCTCACACTCGACAGTGATGAGAGGCAGCACTGCAATCGCCACCCAGAGTCCGACGAGGTTAGGGTACGCTTGCTGCCAGTCAGGTGTCTTGAGAATTGCAGTCAGTCCTGTGTGGAACTTTTGCTCACTCTTAGGAGCTCTGGCCACGACTGGGCACAGAGTCCGCAGCTCCTTCACGACATGGTTCTTGTCAATGCCTGCAAGGTAAGACAAGGCATGGGATTAGTAAATGATGCGTTTTCAACGGTCGAACGAGTTACCAATCATAAACTGACCTGGTAGGATCTCGTCGGAGTCCCAGCCATTCTTCTTTCTGTAAGCCAGGAGAGTGGGTGAAACAAATGGCACCCCTGTATAACTTATGAGAATGTTCAGAATTTTGAGGATTTTGCGACAGCGGCTGTGGTGGTGGTTGGGGGATGGAGGGAAACCGGCAGTTGCTTTGACCCTACCTTTATGCTGAGTTGGGATGCAAGCATCAGTTCCACCAGATGGTACTGCTGTGCAGAAGACTCAATTTCATTGATGCCATGCTCCCACCATCGTCTCACTCCCACCACTATCCTGTCACCCTCTCAATCCCACCACCTTCAATACCACCACAATCTCTGCCATGTAGGATAAAGATTATGAAGGGGCACCAAGAGGTTCAGGCTGCCAACTAGGCTGGAACCAAGACTCGTTACGGTCAAACGAGGAGGCTTGATTCTAGGGAAATTTTCTGCCAACAACCGCCCCCTTGCTCCCATCCCATCCCGCTCTCACTCCCACCCACCCACCACCATCTCACTCCCACCCACCACCATCTCACTCCCAACCGCCACCATCTCACTCCCACCGCCATCTCTGCCATGCAGGAAACAAAGCCTGTTGGGGCAGCAAGAGCTGACCAACAACGGTCCAAATGGGGTCATTTGGGATGCGTGCCCCTGGGTTGTTAAAATGTGAGAAACTAACTGTAACTACATGTAATTTCATTGCACTAGCAAGGTTCATACCTGTTGTAGCGTGTGAATAATTACCGGTGATAATTGAACTTGAACTTGTGGAATTTGCGTAGAAATCAATTGGGGCTATTCAAAAATTTCCCTTCAAGAACTCTGTTCATTTCGTCTAGGTTGTATTGAGAAATACGATCTACTATAGGCTTACTATAGCTTGTACGCTCCGAGAAGTTCGCATCAGCTTGTTCGGCCCGCACCACCTCCGAAGCGCCACCGCAACCTACGCCAGGCTACCGAGCCTCGTTCAACCCGAGGTTCTCGCTCCTCAACTCTGCCTATAAGGGTGCATTCCTACCTCGTGTCAGATACGAAGTGGAGGTTTGGATGGAGGTTCTGATTTCGAAGTGGCCCACTTCGGGTCTTCCGAACATTGATTTGCCAGAGTTCCAGGTCACTTTGGGTCTTCCTCAACTCACTTCGAGTCTGACCTCATGTCAGACACGATCCAAGAATGGACCCTAATGCTCTCGTTTTATACATTCAGAGGACATTCCATTGTGTAGTTTCTAGTTTCCATTCGGGCACCTCTCTTCCCAACAGTTTGTATAGCCAATCACATAGTTTGAACTAGCCTACATTGTGTTAGCCCACCATTTCGCAAACATGGGCCGCGAGCTAGATTCTGTAGGAATACACAAGACTGGCATATTCCAGAATCAGGATGTGAGAGCTGGGAAGCCGAATAGTGGCTCGATAACCGTCGCGTCCAAGCGTCAGACACGGTGACGAGAGCGAGACGAGGCGGAGAGGCGCGACAGTAGAGGCGCGAGGAGCAGCAGCAATGGCGGGTGGGCAAACAGGAGGCGCAAGGTTGACATACGTTGCGAAACAGTGACGATACTACAATGGCAGTTGAAGGACGTTTGGAACGTCATGTAGTGGCGCTACTGCGTCAGAGCGACAGATAGGCAACGACACAGCGTGACGTACGGCGATGAGGGGGCGACGGACTGCGACGCGAGAGCGACGGTCCACGACAGAGAAAGACGGACTGCGACAAAAGGCCAACGTACGGCGGCGAGAGAGTGACCGTTGACGACGGGAAAACAGCGGTACATGACAATAAAGTGACACAAACCGTTTCGCGATGGCGGAGAGCCGCAGCAGGAGATGCGCGAGGAGAAGTGGCAATGGCGGATGGGGCAAGCACGGGCGTAGAGGGGGAGCTCCCAGCAATGGAAACAGCAACGGGAGATGCAGCACTGTCGCTGCAAGCAGCACAGGCCGGAGCGGCGGCGGCGGCGCGAAGAGGCAGTGGAAGCCCGCGCCGGCTCCGCCTGGATCAGTTCGCTGCCGCCCCGAGGGGGAGGTGGAGGCGCAGGGAGGGGAGGGGGAAGTGAGGATGCAAGCGCGTGTGGTTTGGGTTTGGCAGAATCGAGGCGAGGGGTGGGAGAAGGGGGAGTGGGAGGGCGGAGGAGTAGGCGAAGGGGTGGGAGACAGGTGGGAGGAGGGGCAAGGAGTGGTCGAGAGAGTGGAGGAGAGGCAGGTGGGTAGGCGAAGGCGAGAGAGGAGAAAGGACAGAGAGATTGGGGGGGGAGAAGGGGCAAGCAAGGGAGGAGAAGGGAGAGGAGGAGAAGGGAGGGGTAGAAGGCAGCCCGGTGAAAAGTCAAAATCAGCTGATCACTTACATTGGCGTGGAGGCATGCAGCAGGTGAGTCAAGTAGTAGGTGCGGCAAGGAGTTTATAATGATTCTCTAAACCAAAAACACAGTGCAAAACAAAAGGCGATCCGAGCCATACATTGGTGGGCGAGGAGGGAAGCAGCAGGTGAAGCATTGCCATAGATAAGGCATAGTAGCACCATGCGCATGCGCCTTGCCATGGAAATCCCATGTTCTGAGCCCTTGAGACGACCCTTGAGGTGCCTCAAGACTCGCATGGGTGATCCCATTTTCCTCACATCACAGCCGTGCCTCGAACCACCCCGGCACAGCCACCATGTGGTAACATTCCCCCCAGTGCTGAACACACTGGTTGCCGCACTGCTGATGCGTCCATACCCCCCTCCAGTTATGACAGTGAATGTATTTGCATTGTTTAAGTGCAGAGTCATTTCTAAAAAAAAAAAAAAAAAAAAAAAAAAAAAAAATCCGCACCTCCCCTCTTCCATACGTATCGAGCATGATTGCCTGACAACGCTGACAAAGCACGCGACAAAGTTTGTGCGTGATGGTTTTTTCGTTAGCACAGTGACGAGCTCATCGCAACACTGTTCGTCTCGAACTAGACAACACAGATTTGCATTCGCATGCTACATTGTGTCAGTCACACAGAGATCTGGACATGGTTTGCTGACGTGTTCCTGCTTGCCTGAGAGGTATTGCGCGTGCATCTTTTACTCGCGCAATACAAGTCCTAAATTCGAAATTTATAACGAATTTCTCGAGTTTTTCTATTTCTGATACGAGGTTGGCCTGATATGAGGCTGTAGGAACACGCTCTAAGATGTTTTCTCTTTGGCTATCAACTGTGGTTACTTCGCTTGCTTGCCTCACCCACATAGCATTGGGGTTTACAGGCTTCTCAAGAGCGTCTTAGCCCGGATAGCAGCCCCGGGGCTTAAATGCTGTCATTCCCCAAAGACAAAGTTTCTGTTGGTTGAGGAGTACACATGCAAACATGTTGTCATTCCGCCCTAAGATATAATTCAACAAAAAATAAAATTTAACATTTCTGATTCAACAGACAGGCAATTACAGAGCATCTGATGCATCAAGCGGGTTCAGAACCTAGGGAGAACCCTGCTCTCGTCTCCTCCCTTCCCTCTCCTCGTCGCTCCCTTCCCTGTTCATGCAGCTTAGCTTCGTTTACGGTAAAACTATAGCGTCGTTTACGATAAAACTATGTTCGTAGGTTCACTCTGTGCAGCCCTAGAGTCTCGCGCAACCCTAGAATCTCCGCTGCATCTCTCAACTCATTGCCAAACCCCCTTACCTCACTCCAGTTTCCCCTTCCCCTGGTACAATCCACACGCTCCTTGTCTCTCCCGCTCACAGCGTGCAGGGCAGGCAGCAGGACACACAACAGTCAAGCGAGGACATCAGCTAGTGGTGGTGGGAGGTGAACAATGGAGGCTGGAGAATAGAGGATCAGGGAAAAGGTATAATGAGAGAGGAAGGGCGCAAGTGGGAGTAGCAGAGGTGCGGCCCAGGCGGGAGGGATGCGCCTTCCATCACCTCCGTGATCATTTCGACTCTGACACGCCTCGTGAAGCCGGGCTTGGGTGGAAGAGAAGTCAAAGAAGCTGACAGAGAGAAGCGGATTCCTCTGTGAGCATGAGAACAGCATGCCAGAGAGCAGTTCCGTCGTGCTTGCTCGTCCGCTCTTCCCAGCGCCCACTCCTGCGGTGCTTCTTGATTGGGTGCTTGCAACAGGGCACGTGTTGAGCAAGCCTGTGAGCACCACCTGTACAACCCTCCATGTCTCTTCCTGTGAGCATGCAGGAATCACCTTCCAAAACGCATCCGCCATGCCTAGCAGCGCACTCAGCATTGCAACAGATAGCCCCGTAGCATTGCCACCTCCTTCCATGCCCCATCCAAAACCCCCTCCCTTGCCAGTCACCCCCCGTCTGCTTCTCCCACGAAGCTCACCACCACATCGGTCGGTTCTACCTCCGTCAGTTTGCTTCTCCGACCCACCCCTAGATGGCTGGTACGTGTTCAGCAGAGCTACAAGGGCAGATGGAAGTTGCAGCAGCGTGTGGTGCAGGTTGTGACTGAGGGTTGGATGGGTGCGGTATTGGAGACTGCGCGAAGCGGAGGCAGGAGGAGGAGGTTGAAGCAGAAGGGAGGTGAACAGGTGGTGGAGAGGAGTGGCAGAGGGGGATGGGATGATGGCAGAGCGAGAACAGGAGTGCATCGTAGCAGGCAGCAACGAGAGGGAATGCTCCACCAGAGGGAGGAGGACTCGAGGATTGGCAGAGGGGCAGGGAGGCTGCTGGGAAGCCATTGATGCCCTGGGAACAGCTGCGGTGTGCCCTTGTGAGTTGACAACCGGAGCATGCATCATGGCCTGCTTTGGGTGGAAGAATAGTGATTAGAGGACAAGAACGCGAGCATTTACAGGAATGTGCATACATTAAGAAGCACAGCATGGAACAATCGTTTTGCCCTTAGCCATTGTGGGCAACATCACGGAGTTCAAAACAGAGTGCGGTGGGTGATGTGCTGCTGATGAGGAGGTTTTGGAACCTCACATGCAATGCAGCATTCACACGGAGGGATACCGACCTTATGGAAGCAGCTGAGGAGTGCAGAGGAGCAGGTCACAGCTCCATTGCACGCCACCCGCTTCGCTCCATTCAACCAGCTGGCATACTCCCTCGTCCACACCCCTGCCACCACCTTCACCGCCCTCCACCCGTCCATCTCGCCACTCTTCCCTGTGCTCACCAGCGGCTCCAGTGCCACCCCCTTGGCCCATGGCAGCGCCATATCATCAAGCTGGCAGGAGGAAGAGGCGGAGTAGGAGGAGGAGAGGCGGCGGTGGAAGGAGGCGGAGAGGAGAGAGAAGGCGGCGTGCAGGCGGGGGAGGTGGGAGTCGGCAACAGGCATGGCATTGCTGTGCAGGTGGTGCAGCGAGTGCAGGAGGGGTGTGAGGCGGGCTGACCAGCGGGCCCACCACAGACCCACCTTGTGCTGCACATGGGCAATGGCAGGGGCAGGGGTGAGAATCCCTGTGCAAGGAAGCACAACCGACATCCTTTGTGCTGCCGTCGCTGCTGCTGTGGCGTGCTGGCAGGCAGTAGACTCTCTGCTACCCTCTAGCCAGAGCACTAGGCGCTGCTGTGTGCGTTGCAGCATGCCTACAGCCATCTGTAAACCCAAGTGGGCAAGCATCAGCTCTGCTCGCAGCTGCTCCGCCCCCTTCCACTCTGCACGCCCCTTGTGCTGTGCCATCGTGCCCGCCTGCCACTGCACCCGACTTTCCCTTCTCTCCTTCTGCACCTGATATGCCGCCTTGTGAAGCACACTCTGCCCGTGCCACAACTCCTCAGCCTCCCTCATCTCCTCCCTTCTCATCTCTCCATCCAGCAACTCGCGCCCACTCGCCTCCCCAGACACCCGTGTACTAGGGGCAGCGCTGCCACCAGCATATCTTCCCTCCACACCAGCCGTCCCTCCACCCACCCCCACTCCACGTGCCGGTAGCAGCTGCCCCAGCCTCACCATCCTCCATGCTTGAGTGGTTCTCGCCTCCCTTTCCGCATCCTTGCGGATTCCCATGTCATCACCCAGCGCACTCACAGCAGCCTCGCCCAAACCACTCTCCTCGTCACCACCACTATTACCGCCAGTGATTTTGTCGGCAGCATTATCAATGGCACACTGCAGCACGAACAGCAGCACACTCATCTCCGCCCTCGCCAATCCCAAATCACAGCCCTCACATGCCATCCGATCAGTAAAGCCCCACCTCTCCACACCTCGTTGTCAGAGGTCCACTGGTGATCCCCGATTGATCCTAGGGAAGGGTTACAGGCTCGTTGTCCTGGGGGGTTATGGGCGCACTGACCCGCTACTTAACAAGCCCTTTTATCCCAATGGTCTAGTGGTTGGGATTCTGACATGGTATCAGAGCGAAGGTCTCGGGTTCGAATCCCAGTGTGTGCACGTCGGGCATCCCAGTGCGGGGGGGTGTCAGAGGTCCACTGGTGATCCCCGATTGATCCTAGGGAAGGGTTACAGGCTCGTTGTCCTGGGGGGTTATGGGCGCACTGACCCGCTACTTAACAAGCCCTTTTATCCCAATGGTCTAGTAGTTGGGATTCTGACACTCGCAACCGCTGGGCCATTTCAATCTCCTATCTGCTCAACTCCGCACCTCCAGCAGCCTGCATCCCCTCCCCCCTACTCCTCCCCTCCCCCATCCATGCCCCTCGCCCCGCCATGTTCACCCGCCACTGTAGGTGGCGCACAAAGCATACAAGGGAGCGGCCTGGCCAGCCAAGCTAGGCACAGTGCCGCCTCCAGGAGCATGCCGGCCCTCTGCAGCAGCAGCGGTACGCGCGTGCTGTCGCCCTCCTCGCTCTCCACCTCCGCCAGTTGCCTCAGGTGCTGCCCTTTCTCGAGAAACTCCCGCTTCGCTTGCAAGGACGGGTGCAGCCGGATGAACACCATCTCTTTATAGTCACGTTCCTCTTCGTGCTTCAATGCACATTGAGTCACGTACCATCCTTTCAGATGCAGAGATTCTTGGTCGGGTACCGCCCCTGATGCTGACGTGGCTTCAGCAGCCTGCCAGCTGTCGAGAAGTGAGAGGCCCTTGCTGAAGGAGCGAGCTCGCAGGCACACAGAGAGCGCACTGTGCATGTCTCCGCCTGCACTGTAGCAATCAGCAGCTTCGCTGAGCCTTCCTAACTTCTCATAGCATCGGGCGGCCTTTAGATGATCGGGCGGGTGACAGATGGAGAGGTAGAGTCGCACTGTGGGAGGGTGGACTGGGGAAGAAGGATGGGGTGATTAGCCAATGTATCAACAGGTGTATGCAGGGGAGGTCTATGTAGAGGAGGTGGATGCAGAGGAGGTGGATGCAGGGGAGGTGGATGCAGGGGAGGTGGATTCAGGGGAGGTGGATTCAGGGGAGGTGGATGCAAGGGAGGTGGATTCAGGGGAGGTGGATGCAGGGGAGGTGGATGCAGGCAGGGGAGGTGGATGCAGGGGAGGGTAGGAAGGAAGGATGAACACCAAGGGGTACAGGTGGGAGGCAAGACGTAGTGCTATGAGTAGTGGGTGACAACATAGACCCACGGAGCTGCCAGCATCAGACAGTCAAACACTCGAGATCCTGTAACCTGTTCTCAACCTTGCCACGCGGCTATAAAGCACTCAGCAACACACCTGCATCTTCAAAGCTTCTCGCCTTGCTGTACGCGCGCCCTGCCTCCGCTCCCCTTCCTATGCCTTCAAACAAGCGCGCGGCAGCGAGCAGCAGGTCAGACGCGGAGAGCAGAGACAAGTCCGGGTGCACAGAGGGCAGCGCAGAGGGGCAGGCTGACTGCAGGGCAGAGGAGGAGGCTGCTGCACTTGGCGGTGGAGCGCGGCCCATGCCCGCCTCATAAAGCAGCATGGCGCGGGAGAAGCGCGCGTTGAGAGTGTCCCCAGTGCACTCATATGATGCCTCTGCCACCTCATAGTCGCCCCTCTGGAAAAACTTGTGGGCAGTAGGCACGGGTGGGTGCATGGAAGTGGCGGGGCACACACATGAGGGTGAGGACACAATGGTAGGCAAAGAGATGACGATAGAACAAGGCTGTGGCACTCACAGCATTTGAAGCACTAGCAGCATTCGAAGCACTGATAACAATCCCAGCACTCCCAGCACTCCCAGCACTCACAGTGAAGGCAAGTGATCGCCAGTCCTTGTCCTCTGAAGCCGGCTTCACTGACTCTGCTACAGTCTCCTCACCACGTTTCACCACCACAAGCCCCATCGCCGCACACAGGTCCATCATTGGACAGCTGTGGTTCCTCGCCCGTGCACCCTCCTCATAGGGCCCACTCCCCTCGCCTGTCTCGTCCAGCACCCACAGCCGCTGCTTTGCCCTCGTTATAGCCAAATACAGCTGCTTCAGATCCGTACACAGTGAACAGTGCCTGCATGGAACAGTGTAAGGTGACAGAATCCAAAAAAAAAAAAAAAAAAACATTCAAACAAACAAATGGTATATATTGGTGGAGGGAGAAACGAATACAGCTCTCAAATACCATTGTTAAATAACAGCAGTGGCAGGATACCCACTTGAGCTCGTCAAAAGAAAGCATTCCCCTCCACGTTTTACACGGGCAGGTACCATCACCAACACCACTCCAGTGCGCCCCATCTGCCAGACCGCTGTCGTGCATGTAGGTGTAGAGCAGGCTCCACAGGCTTCACTGGGAAGAGGGCGGACAGCGCCTTCTTCTGATCCGCACTGCGCACAATGATGGCCTGGTGCACGGGAGTGAGCGAGAGACTGAGAGATGCAAATGCAAGGCAAGGCAGGCGCAAATTGGCCCACTTGTTACGGACCCATCAACAGAAAATTCCATGTTTTAACCCTGCCCTTACACCGTTCACAGACACGGCAACATGCAGAGGCACAGCAGCCAACACGAGCACGATAACGGGCAGAATATACATGCTGACCTGGGTGGCGCTGAGAGGCATGCCCTGTGCGAGCTGCCTCTTCCATGCGGGAGACACAGCCGCCATCACAGGCAGCACACCCTCCACCGCGCTGAGCTCCTCGTTCAGGCGGTCGATGGACGACGGGAAGAAACTTCTCAACAGCTGCACCACACTGCTCGCGAGCTTGAGTATGCCATTATGTGTGCGGTAGTTCCGAACCAGCTGGTACTGCGGCAGCACTCTCACCGGCGCCCGCAAAACAGACTTGCTGCTAACACTACTGCTGCCAGGAGCAGCAATGCTCTCACAGCAACTCCTCACCTCACTCCTCCTCTGCCCACCACCTTGTTCCCTCTTCTTGCGACCAGGATCTACAACCACGCCCCTGCTGCATTCATCCTCTCTATTGAGAAACTCTCTATTCAACCCATGAGGCACACTGACCGTGTGGCATGAGTGATCTCAGTCTGAATGGCGGCGCACAGCTGCAGGCTTCGTGTGACCACCACTTGCCGCATGCGCCCACTCTGCCGACCACTCTACCGCCCATGCCGCCCACTCCACTGCTCATTCCATCCTCCTCCAGATTTGTCACTTCTCCCCCACAAAATCCCCCCATAGGGAGAGCTGCTGCAAAGTGGAGGAGGAGGGAATAGGGATGGTGGAGTGGCAGAAGAGGCGGTGGAGGAGCAACGCCCGGTGGATGATCACTGTGGTCTTGCCCGTGCCTGCGAGGGAAGATGGATGGGTGCATGATGGGTCAGGCAGAGAAAAGGCGTCAATGTTTTGAGGCGATCGTTTTGAATGTTTGCACAAAGTATTGAGTGTTGGTTTGAGGGGAGTGAATGAACAGCTGGGTGACGAGTGGTTGCAGGCATGGATGTCAAAGCATCATGGCGGTATAAATGCATGCTCTGGTGTTTGACTTGACTGACCAGCAACACCCAACCAATCCAAAAACTATGTTCAGAATGAGGAAAGTAATCACAGTCAGAGCGGGAATATTGCAGCTCAAGGGTACACCGCACGAGGAAGAAACGACCCGAGTCAAAAGCTCACTCGGAAAGGAATCACTCAAGATTAGGTGATGCAACACGGACCAGGGTTGACCACAGTTGACCCACCGGATCGGCCGTGGACGACAAGGCTGGAGGGGCAGAGGATGGCGGCAGTCTCCTCTGCGTTCACCTCAAATGGCACGCAGCTGAGAGCACATGCAGCACCATCCTCGCCTAGCAGGCTGCGTGCCATCGCTGGCTGCAGCAAGATGAACTTGGGAGGCGTCACCACGTCCGCTTCCCCTGCTGCCATTACAGCTACAGCTGCTGCTGTGGTGCTCTCTGCTTGGTGGGAGGACAAAAAAAAGCTGAAGTTCAACCTTAGCACTTATGCCTCCTCCCTACTACTCTAGGTTCGTTCCCACAGTCCCTACCCTCCCCCCATCATTGGGAAAAATAAGAGAGAAACATGCTCGATTGTTGATACGGCTATGTGTACAGTGTGTCACAGGCTAACAAACCTAGTGGGGGGGAAGGGAACGCAAAAGAAACACATCAGAATTTTTTACCACAGTCAAAGTAAGTTAATGACAGAAAGACGGCGGACAGTCCTGTCACAAAAGAATCAAAGTTTGATCCAAACCTGTGTCAAAATCAGCCTTCTGTCTGACCAAAAAGTAGCAGAGAGCACGGGATAGGGGATGTGTCAAACTATGTTTTACATAGTTTATATAACTGCTTATAGTTGATTGAGGTGTAGTTCTTTTAGTACTTGTTTGGTGGTGCACCTTCTCTTGTTCCTTTGCTATATGTTTTTGCAAATCTATAGTGAAGCCCCCCATGCTTGATATTCTCCTTGCACAAACGCACTCGACATTCCTAGGCCTAGGCTACTAAGCCTATGCCTCCTAAACCCGTTTCCTAAGCTAAGTGAGCACGTTGACATGGTCTTGAGCTATTAAAATCCCATACCTAAGCTCATGGGCCCACCAACCCGTCACGCTCAAGTTCCCCGCTCTAAGCTAGATTTCCAATTTTGTCCACCCATCGATCGTCAATTTCTGCCCATGGCGTGCGCGGACCTTGGCGAGCACGCCCGCAAACCTGCCGACGGACCTGCCAACGAGGTCGATGACGGACCCGCAAGCGTGCACGTCAGCGATCCCGCCAACGGGCCCGCCACCGAGCACGCCAACGGACCCACGCACCCGCCAGCAAGCGAACCGTCCGACCCGCGAGCAAGCGCGATAGCGAGCCCGCAAGCGCACTCGCCAACGAGCTCGTCAACGGACCCACGAGCCCGCCACCAAGCGAGTCAGAGGACCCGCCAACGGACCCACCAGCACCGGCCCCCCCTGCGCTTCCCCGTCAGAAAATGGGGAGCAGCCGCATGGATCATGGAGGTACGAGCGAACTCCAAGACTAAGCCAATGCGGCGCTCAGCAATCCCATTTTGCTGAGGGGAGGCCGGAAGAGTGAACGACTGGAGAATGCCCTCCCCACGACAAAAGTCACGCAAGAGGTTGGAGGAGAACTCACCACCTCTGTCAGAGTGTAGACGCAGGACAGGAACGTCCTCACGGAACCGCTCACAAAGCTGGAGACGGACTGCGCGGAACCAAGGGATCAAGACATCAGGGACCTCACCCTTGCTGCGCAAGGAGAAGACCGTGGTGTAATGCATGTAGTCGTCAACAACCAGCAGAAAGTAGCGCTTGCGGCCCATTCCACTGACGCGGGCTGGGCCCCACACGTCCATGTGGAGAGTCTGCAGGGGAGCAGTCGTCGGGGGAAACAAGGAGGAGTGAGGAGCGGCGCGTTGCCGCCCCTCGACGCAAGGAAGGCAGGGCGGGGCAGGCAAGGGCGGGAGGGGAGGCAGAGACCTGGGAAGACCTGAGACAAGGAGGCGGGAGTGCATGCCACGAAGGCGTGGCAGGGAGGGGTGACCAAGGCAGTGGTGCCACAGGAGAGTCTGGTGTGACAGGAGGCGACACGAGCAAGGGGGTGCTACCGAACCTGACGCGGACATCTGGGCAGACACAGCTACCTGACGAGGCTCAGTAGCCAGTGTGAACAGACTCGAACCAGGCCTACGAGTGAACGTGGCCTGGTGGCGGCCCGTCCGTGTACATGTGCATATCAACACACGCTGACCCCCACGAGTGGTGGTAGTGACCATCGCGTCCTGGAGGGCAGCGGTACTCACCAAGTTCATAGAGAACGAGGGGAGGTGAAGGCCTGACAGTGAGCCGGACGAAACCGCCGGACACGGGAGAACAGTGGAGGAACGGGCAACGACTAGGCCCCCGGAGGGGTCAGCCAGCATGACCGGTACAGGTGCAGAGAGAGGAGTGAGGGTGGTGCTGTCGCGAAAGAAACACCGTGAAGCACCTGAGTCAAGTGTGAAGGTGTGCAAGGCCTCAGCAGGCGCAGTACCAGGGAGAGCAGACTCAATAGCACCTAGAGCAGCAGCCTCTATACCTGGGTTAGGCGGCACACACAGGAAACAGTCATTCTCAGCACTAGGATAGCATACATGGCAAGCAAGGATAGCATCATAGTCTAGGTCAAAAATAGCAAATCCGGACTTAAGCAGCTCTGCCCAGCGGGGGCGCTCAGCCTCGTCACCATTTCTGCGCGCCAAGCGTCGTCGAGAAACAGCGGTGCTGAGTGTGAGGCTTCCCGCATGTCTGACCCGCACGGTCACCCGAGCGAATGACATTCGGGCAGCTACCACTACCCCCAGACGCCCCACGCTGAGAAAACCACTCACGAAGTTGCTGGGGCGACGGGGTCTCGCTCCGACGCTGCTGGTGCAGCCTCTGGCCACTGCCTGAACCTCCTCGCTGAGTAACTCCAGCCCGACCGCCACCACTCCCACTGCCGCCACTACCGCCACCCCCACCTCTGCCACTACTGCCACTACCAAAGCCCCCATTCCCTCCACCACTCCCACTACCGCCACCACCTCCACTGCCTCCACCATCTCCACAGCTGCCCCCACCACCACCCCCGCTGCCACCGCCCCCACCCCTGCCATCCTTGCCCTTGCTGCTGCACCGCTTCCCACTAGCAGAAGCAGCCCCAACGTCCTCAGCACCAAGGACGTCAACAGCAGCAGCAGAGGCGTAAGAGGGGGCAAGGGGGGAGGGGGAACACCCCTAGAGCGACTACACTAGTCTCAGCTGCAAGGAGGTGCTTCTCCAGTAGGTCAACAGTGGGGACTGTGGGGTCAAGTGTGAGAAAGTGGTCCCTGACAGCGCGAAGAGAGTTAGGGAGGCGGGTGACTATAAAGTAGAGAGTGATGTACATCGGGGGCGGGTTCCTGTCAAGGAACTCTGCTAGGAGGGCAGCGCGGTAGCGAGCGTCGCTAGTGCGAAGGTGGGAAACGAGGTCCTCCACTGTGGCAAAGGCGGACAGCTCGGGAAAAAGGTAGGGCAGTAGAAGACGGCCTAGAGCGGCAGTGGCTGGCGAGGAGTAACGGGCGACTACAGCTTCATACAGCGCCTCTGCGGTCCTGTGCTGTCCGAAGTGAGCGCATTCGGCTAATGGCAGGTGGTTACGAATGGCTAAGCGAGCAGCAGCGTCACGCTTGGCGCGTGGAGTTTGGTGACGAGGCCGAGCGCCTCGCTAGGCAGAGCTGCTTAGGTCTGGAGTTGCTATCTTTGACCTAGACTATGACGCTATTCTTGCTGCTATGTATGCTTTGTCTGTTAGTGCTGAGGGTGACTGTTACTTGTGTGTGCCGCCTGACCCAAGTATAGAGGCTGCTGCTCTAGGTGCTATTGAGTCTGCTCTCCCTGGTACTGCGCCTGCTGAGGCCTTGCACACCTTCACACTTGACTCAGGTGCTTCACGGTGTTTCTTTCGCGACAGCACCACCCTCACTCCTCTCTCTGCACCTGTACCGGTTAGGCTGGTTGACCCCTCCGGGGGCCCAGTCCTTGCCCGTTCCTCCACTCTTCTCCTGTGTCTGGCGATTCCGTCCGGCTCACTGTCAGGCCTTCACCTCCCCTCGTTCTCTACGAACTTGGTGAGTACCGCTGCCCTCCAGGACACGATGGTCACTACCACCATTCTTGGGGGTCAGTGTGTGTCGATCTGCATGTGTACACGGACAGGCCGCCACCAGGCCACGTTCACTCATCGGCCTGGGTCAAGTCTGTACACACTGGCTACTGAGCCTCTTCAGGTAGCTGCGTCCGCCCAGGTGTCCGCGTCAGGTCCGGCAGCACCCCCTTGCTCGTGTTGCCTCCTGTCGCACCAGACTCTCCTATGGCACCACCTCCTTGGTCACCCCTCCCTGCCACGCCTTCGTGGCATGCACTCCTGCCTCCTTGTCTCTGGTCTTCCCAGGTCGCTATTGCCGCTGGAGCTAGAGGTACTGGCGCTTGTGGCGATGGCGCTGGAGGAGCAGGAGCTGGAGGTGTTGGAGCTGGGGGTGCTGTGTCTGGCGGTACTAGTGCTAGAGGCAATGTGCGGGCGCGACCGTACTTCGTTCCCCTGCTTCAGAAGATTCTTGGTCTCCTGTCTTCTCCTGGCCTTACTCCTCCCTTGCTGTGTCCACCGCCTGACCAGTCACAGCCGCCGTTACAGCCAGCCTCCCCACAGCCTGCTCCTTCTCCTTACACTGAGCAGACTAGAGGTCTTACACAGTGTCGTGAGCTTGCGACTCGTCCTGCCTTGCCTGTTCGAGCTGTTTGCACTGGTCGTAGGGTTCCTCGTCCGTGTCCTCCTCCTGTACCCGGCACCCATCCTATGGCACTTCGTCCTTCCTATGTTCCACTGCATGTTCCTCTCCCGCCTCCTCCTGAGTCCTCTCTTCCTTCTGTCCCTGACCCTGCGTCTGACCTCAATCGTGCTACCAGTCCCAGTGTCTCTCGTCTCCTCGCCTTTACTGTCACTGACCCTTCTTTTCAGTCCACTGCTGCGTCTGCCCTCGTTGCTGAGCTAGTTGACTTTGCTGCTGCCTGTCGTCTAGACTACGCCACTGCTCTTGTTGCTGGGTCTGAGTCTGCCAGTCCTCCGTCCGTCGGGGGTGAGTGTGCTCTTGGCACGGATGTCCTTGAGGACAGGTAGGAGGACCTTGAGTGTCTTGCAGTTGCTGTACCTTGTTTAGCTTCCATGCTGCTTGCCCCTGAGGGAGACCCGGATGCACCAGACATCCCAACCCCGTGCTCTTACGCCGAGGCGATTACGGGTCCTTACTCCTCTGAGTGGCAGGCAGCCATGGATGCCGAGATGGCATCCTTG